ATTATGTAATTTAAGAAAATTAACAAATATTTTTTGTTATAAATTGAATACAAATTAATAGAAATTAACATAAAATTAAAATATACAGTATATATATTATTTTAATTAATATAATAGAAACATGATTATTATCTCATCAATTATATTTAAAATATTAATTAATAAATAAATTTGCAGTAATAAAACAGAAATATTAAATTTAATTAATAAAAAATATTTAATTGAACCCATTTTTTAAATAAAAAAACAAAACACTTAATATAAGATTATTCACAGCTTTTTAATAAATATCTTCTTTATGAAATTAAGTTTAAAAATTAGATAATTATTAATTAAAAAATAATAATATTCTGGTTACAAATTATTTCATAATATAAACTCTAATATTAATAAAATTATTTAAAATCAATACAATATAAGAATAAATTTTTAAAATTCTGTTCTCTCTCTCTCTCTCTCTCTCTATATATATATATATATATTTATATATATATATACAGTATATAATAAAAACAAAACAAAAAGAAAAATGTTTACAAAATTATTATTATGATTAATATTAGTTTATAAATATATTGTTATTCATATGTCACAATCACTACAAATTATACTACAAATATATATATATATATTACAGTATAAATGATATACTATTTGTATATACAAAGTACTATAAACACATTTAGGGTCTGAAAATTTATTAGTTTACATTATATGCTAAAATAAATGTGATATAAATATAGCATTTATATATAATATATCATTTCGTGAATTCTTATTTATATAAATATTCTGTTTTCCTCTTATATTTTGTCTGTTATTTAGTTATTATATGTAAATACATTTACTGTAATATAATGTACAATATGTGTGATTTCCGTAAAGCAAAAAAAACAACAAGAAATGTTGTCGACATTTAAATAACAACAAAAATAATACACAAAAAAATCTTTTAGGTCGACATATAATACTAATAAAAACTTTACGAATAAATTATTGATATATAATAATAATATATAAATATATTTAGAAATCTTATTTTCTCTACATATACAGTATATACTAATAATAATAGAAAAAAGTTATTAATATTAAATAATTATTTATTTTCAATTCTAATCTGGCAATTAATTATTATTTAAATTGGTTTATATCGATTTTTAAATTATACCAAGGTTATTTTTTATTTTATTTAATATAAGATAATAATTTTTTTATAAAACTATATATATGAATATATTTTTATTATTTAAATATTACGTAACTATTAGTAATGTAAACATTGAGGACATCTTTTGTATTATAAATTATTTGTGGAAACTTTTGCAGTGAATAAATATAAAATCGATTTTTTCATATTTTGTTGGTTAAAAAATAAATATATATTTTATTTTTTTTATTGAATATTAAAATTCATATTTAAATAACAACCTCCCACTCATACACAATGTATGTATATATTTGTGTGTTTAAAAATTCAATTTCTCTGTATTGTATTTGTTTGTTTGAAATACAATTTTCTAATATATAATAATAATAATAATAATACATATAAATAAATATATAGCAATGTTTTCAAAACGATTGCCTCCCAGAGGTTAACAACAATTGTATTGTAAATATAGAAATATACATATATTTAATAATACATTGCTTTTTTACACACATTTGTTTAGTCATATAAAGTTTTTTATTTATTTATTTTTTGAATGCTAGTTTATTGAATATAAATTTTTTATTTATTAAAATAAAATTTATTTGAGGTTTTCAGGCAACCAAATGTTTACTTTTCAAAATGACATAAAGTAGTAAAAAATAGCAGTTATTGTAATTATTTTTATTGCATAAGAAAATCAAATAATATTTTCAAAATTGATATTCATTTTTTATCAATGAATAAATTTTTTTATTTATTTTTTCAATAATAATAAATAAATATAGTGTAATAAAAAATATGTGCAATTATTATTATTATTATTATCGATTGTTTATTTTTATTCAATTTGTTATCTAAATAAAATTAACAAAAAATAAATAATATTTTTGTATAATTATAATCTAAAAATATGTATATTGAAAAATATGATAATTTATTATTTACTACATTATTATTATTAAAGTTATTACATATAATAGTGATGACAATAATTATAATATTTTTATATACTGTATAAAAGTATTAAAAAGACATTTTATATGATTTTAATTATAATAAATAACATATAATAGATAATTAAATAAAACAATATAAAAATATGATTTATTATTTTTATTATAAGTATTTTATTTATTTATTTTACAATGTTTTATTGTTAATTAACATTAAGTTATTTAATATACCAAAATGTCATCTCCTAAGAGAGTCATTATTATATTAATCAATGACATTAAAGTAAGAGTGAAATTGTATTTAAATATTAAGTGAAAAGTTAAATAACATAAAAAGTAGCGAATAATTACAATAATTACTACACATTAGCAAAAGATTCAATAAATTAAATTTGTTTTTATTTTATTATCAAATAAAATAATTATTTTCTTTATTAAGAAACTTACTAAATATAACATTTTATATTATTTATATTTCATATACCAAATATACTATACTATAGTATACCGTATAATCTACATTATGTCAAATTAATAAACAATTAGCTTATTTGATTGTAATTGAAATTAAAAACTTAGTTGTATATATACCGTTAGTTTTGATTAAATTTTTTTATTTGTTATTTTTATTTATTTATACTGTTTTTCTATGATTTATTTTTTATTTTCGGTAATTTACTGTTAGTTTGTGAATCTCGGAGATAACCTCTAAATGTATTCAATAGTTTTAATATATATAAACTATTTTTTTTATTTTGTCTGTTATTTTCGATGTTTAAGTGCTTCACTAACACTAATAATAATGACACAAATAATTGTAATATAGTTTTAGTACTGCCTTTTCATTTAATCGCACTGTTAGTCAAATCGATGATACAGTTCATCCTCGAGTCTGTAAACAACACAAAATTCATTGCCTTTTAAATTCAATTATATCAACAACAAAAAAACACAGTTGTCTACGATTTTTATTTATTTATTTTTATCATTGATTTTCTTTCGACTTAAATATATATTAAGTTTTTTTTTTGTTTTCGATATTCAGCAAGATTTTCAGTTAAAACATTTAATTTTAAAAAACTTAAATTAAAAAAAATTTCCAATAAAAAAGACGATCAAAATTCATTGTATAAATTGTTTTTAAAAAAAAATATTTTTCAAATAAAAGATGATTTTCGAAAAAAATAAATAAAAATGATTATTATTAAAATACAACGAAAAAACCATATAATGTTTTACTAACAAAAAATAAAAATTAATTATTTTTTCAGTACACTAAAAGTTATAATAATTTGTTTTTATTTTTTGTATATTAAGTCCCTAACATAACTACACATGTTATGCACACAAAAAATTTATTACTCAGACATTTGATTAAAAATTTTGATTAAATTAATAACATATGTGTCTATAAAGTAGAAAATAATTTTAATATTTCAATATATATATACAGTATATCGTAATATTTAACATTTTTGTTTTATATTAAAACTAAACAGCAATATATAAATTTATACTTTAGTATTTGATTTATTTTAATAATAATAATAATAATAATAATAACTGCAATTTACTTAAGTAAAAATTAGGAAAAAACTAATTTATATATTAAAATTTTAATATATATTTATTATAAATTGAATGACATTAAAACATATTGTTTTTAACATACATTACAAATACACACACATAAAAATCTAGAATTTTAAATGTAAATGGGAGAGAGAGAGAGAGAGAGAGAGAGAGAGAGAGAGATTGCTTGTAAGGTTTAGTACTAAATATTATAGCAATACATTGCAATCACATGTTTAGCACTAAATATAGCCAATAATTTTGTATACAATAAAAAAGTTTTATTAAGTTTAGATATTATATAATTTTACAATAAAATTATTTTTTTATAATCATTTAATTAGAAACATATGTATTAAAACAATAAAGCAATGATTGAAAGTTTTTTATTGTTTATAAAAGGGCGAAAACTTATGGTATAGTTATTTGAATACATTTTTTATCGATACTCTAATAGGATTACAAGCAAACCCTTACAATCAATCTCTCTCTCTCTATATTAAAGTAAACTATGAAAAAATTACGTTTGATTAATAAAAATAAATATTTCCTCTCAAAAGCATTTAAAATACTTTTAACAAAAAGTAGAAATTATTATTTATCTTTTATTTGTCTCAATTTTTATACTTAATTATAATAATATTGATTAATATCTATAAATAGAAATATATATATATTTAAAATTCTTCAATTTTTTCAGTCTCTAATTAATATAATATATTAAGACATTTTCATAAAAAGTTTTTAGCAATTAATATTTAAATTAAAAATAATTAAAATATAAATTTTTTAAAAAACAATAATGTAGTTATCACTTATCTATAATTATAAATGTCAATACTATAAAAGTTATTAAACATTTTATTGTACTGTAATGTACCATAAAAATCATATTTTAAGTTTTTTTTGTTATTATTTTTGAACTTTAATATTAAATGACAATCCATTAAATCCATTAAAAACTTTTGTTTTTCATAAAATATAAATTATTAAAATTGTTTTTATTTTTTGTTTTGCTTTTATTTTTAAAACAAATAGTGCTATTTAAAGATTGGATAATTTGGCAATTTATTTAACAATTTTGATGAAAACTTTTTTTTGTTATTAATATTTAGAATTAGAAAATTAGAAAACAGTATTATCAGTAATAATACAAAATAAATATTTTTAGACTAATATTAATTTATGAATTTTGATTTATTTTAATAATATGTTGTTTTAATTCAATTTATATTACTTTTATTTTATTCATGTATTATATTTATATATATATTAAAAATTATTATTAATAATATATTATTATTTTATTCAATAAACAGGTCGTCAAAATGTTGGTGGTTGTGGTGGCCGTGTTTGCAACACTTTGGTAGTTATAAAAATGCATTATCATTATTATATATTTTTTAAAAATAACAGTATTATAAAATTTAAAAATTGTTTTTTTTAAAAAGGTTACCCTATAGGGCATTAGTGGTCTACAATTCATTTGCCGATCCCGTATATATGGAGTTATGGTAACTAAAAAAAATATATATATATATAATTTTTTTTAAATGATAATTTCTAATTTATTGTCTGTTTGGATACAACTACAGGTACCTCATGTTTGCCAAAACCATGATATTTGTTAATAGGTTTGTTTTAAAAAACACATTATTACAGAATATAAGGAACAAATCTATATTATAGACAGCCAGTAGAAAATTATTTGCCCCAAACCCATCCCCACCCACCCAACCACTTCCTAACCTCACACTCACCCAAACAAACCTAACTAAATAATAGTTAAGTAATAAAACTAACATTTTATATATGTATAACTTCATAAAAACAATACTTTTTTTGATGGCTGATGGCATAATATAGATTTAAGTCTAATGATAATATTTATTTATTTTAAAAATAACTTTAAAAATCATTAATTAATTTCTAATTAATTAATTAATTTTTTCATTTTCATTTTTTTTGCTAAAAAAACAGTGCAATCAATCCGATAATATACAGCGCGTGTTCAATCAAGTTTCGCCGTGCATTCAAACGTATGCTCACGTGTAAGGGCGACGAACAGCGTAATAACGCGCGATCGCGTGCCGGCCATCCGTACACGTCATCGGCGGTAACGTCGACAATGCATATGTCGCACAACTCTGTCCGACACAACAATACATTATTAACGGTAACCACTTGTGCCGTCAGAAACACAAAGGACAGACACTTCAGTTTTAGTGAATGTGAACAAAACGTCTGATGGGTTGTCAGAAAAAATAATAATAATAATAATAATAATAAATTAATAAATCAATAAAATTATTATTAATATTAAAATATTATATATATATATATATATATATTAATAAATTGTGTGAATACTTCATATGATATACCATTTTCTTAATAATAATAATAATAAAAGAGATGATAAACATCTTATTGTTAAACTTTTTTTTGTTGTTGGTTTGGCTGTCAAAAGACATTTCGCTTATTATTATTATTATTATATTATATTAATTTGTCAAAAAAAATATTTTGAAATTTTTGTAAAATTACTATTACATTAACTTTGTTGTTGTTGTAATGTAATTATTAAAACAATAAATACAATAGAATTTGTATACAATGTGTGAATATATTATTATTGTAAAAATAAAATTTAATTATTATAATTACTATAATTATTGATTTTTTAAAGTCATAAATAATTTTTAAGAATTATTTTGTTAAATAGTAAACAAATAATGATTATTGTAATATTCTTATATAGATTAACATAATTTTTAAATAATTATTGATTTTATATTTATAGTAAAAAACCAATTGTCAGTTTAATTACCGTATTTATTATTTTCGTAAAATATTTAATTTGTAATAAATATTTCTAGTATTTCTATATAATTAATTATCAAAAAAATAAATAAACTTATAATCCATTGTACCATACAGTATATTAATAATAAATCATAATGTGTAAAATACAGTATATAATTATTGTTGAATATACTACAGTATATTGTATATAATTGTAAATAATAATAATAATATTAACAAAAAGTGAGCAATGATAAAAGTAAATTATATGTTATTAAATTAATATTGTTTTACTCAAAAAAAAAAATTATGATTAATTTTTATGTATTGTAATATGATATATTTAATATTTATAAATAATGATATTGTTATTAATTATCATGATCATATTATTATATTTATTGTAAACAGTAATTTTTAACCATTAATCAAATAAAGTATCAAGTTTAAACATTATAATAATTATTATTATTATTAAACTTATTGTAGTTTTATTTATATGTATTTTTTCAATTATACAGTAAATAAGATTTGTCTATTTTAGTTTTTAAAAAACTTTTTTTTGTGTATATGACTATACGATATTATTGTTTAATGTAAAATTAATGACAATTTGTTCAATTAAATTGAAAAATAAATTTTTAATCATTTTTGTATTATAAGTTTAGTATTTTATTTATAAATTTTATTTATTTTCTATACGAATATAATTTATTTATATTTATTATTTATTGGATCATCTTATTGTTGAATTGTATTATAAATTTATATAAAAGATATTGTGAAACATATTTACTAATAATTACAATTTACTTTTAATGTATTATTTAACAAGTAAAGTTTGTATAATATTTTACTAGTTAAATATATTATTATTTAGTATAATTATTTTAAATTACATCTAACATTATTATTATCATCATTTACTAATGATTTATTTTATTAACAATAAAAATATATATCAAAATAAAATTATTATATAAAAAATTAATTATTTATTTTGTTTAAAATAAAGATTATTGATAGCAAAATATTTGTTTAAAACTTTTTTTTGTATAATATATAATATTTATAATTAAAAATATACTATATATATATATATATCTATATAAAAAACCTATTGTTTTATGTGTTAAGTAATGTTAATATTCGTGCGATTAATTTTGGCGACCAATTCATCCAATTCTAGTCTAGAGTTTTTCCTATTGACGCCATCCCTGGGCGGGACATACAGTCCCATCTGTTCGAGACTCACTTTGCGCCGGTGCTCCTGTTTGGTGGCCACTGCGGCCACCAAAGCGGCACCGCGACCACTGCCGTCTTCCGACAGCATCAGATTAAACGTATAGTTCTGGTCAACGAGTTCCGAGATTTTGGCGACCATTAGGTCGTGAAAATGCGGATGAAATTTATAAACCGAACCGTCGACACCTATTGTCGTGTGCGGTCTTTTCATTTTGTTCAATATGGTGGCCACGGCTGCCGAAACCAAATGTGCGGCTCTAGTAGACACTCGCTTACATACCTGTTTCACACAAACAAACATAAAATACACATTTTAATAAAACAATATATTATAAAACACTTTTATTTTTTAAAAATACCATTTTGACGACATCACAATCTAGTAGAGTGGCTGCCCTGTGATCTATGGCTGACATCACCTGACGAGTCATATTATAGTCGTCCTCTTTATCCGATTCAACGGCGGACACATAAGCCGTTTGAAAGGCTTTAGGTGTCATCAGTTTATCGGATGGCTGTCCATTAAACAACAGTTTCTTTTGGCACAGGTCTACAAGTATACAGCGAACTGTTTCTCCCAAATACATACCGGATATCATTTTTTCAAACCTAGTTTTTTGTGTAATCAATCATATATTAGTCGATTATTTTTATAATTAATTTTTATATTTCATTTTTAAAAATATATATATTATTTTCTAATATTCTCACAATTGTTTTCCTCTATTTAATGATGTAGTGTCCACTTCTTCATCCCAATTGGTACGGATAAAGTTCAGCACTTTGTTATCACCGAAAGCACCCAATTCTGTATTAACCACTACTTGATTGACATCTGGAAAGTCCTCACTAAACAGTTCAACGTTTTCCAGTGTTTCCATATAACAAGCGTTAGTACCGGTGCCTAATATTACAGGAATAAATACAGTATATATATATATATATATATATAAAGAATTGTTTATTGAAAAGTTAATTATAATTAGATGATAGGTATTAATTACCTATAATTAGTCCGACCCTACACTCCCGGTTCTTAAGAGCGCATGACATCAATGTACCGGTAGTATCGTTGACAACAGCCATGACATCTACATCAATGTCCTGGTATTTAAACAAACAAACAAAAAACTTTAAAAACTTGTAATTATTTTCTCTAAATCTTATTATTATTATAATTATAAGATACCGGTCTCTTATCGATGGCATCCCTGAGCAATTGGACCACATCTTCGCCCTCAACACCGGTACACTTGAATCCTTTAGTCCATTGTGTTAGTCGGGCCGAAGTCAGTCCTTCCTGTTTGCACGGAAAGCTAAACGTAAAGCCCAATGGGATCCGGTATTGAATGACTTTTCGTTGTTTCATAAAATCCGATATACAACTGGCAATGTGGTCAAACAACTGAGAGATTAGAAAATTAAATAATTAATAATAATATTAAATAGCATTTGATAATTAATTGATTTTATATTATATGTAATCAACAACAACAAAAAATAAATTAAAAGTTATCGCATAACTTATTTGATATTCAATACACTATGATATAATAATAATAATAATCTATATGGTGCCTATAAATTTCAAATAAAATAACTGATAATATCTGGTGACTTATATCAATTTTATATATTTTTTTAAAATTAATGCCTGGTTATTGCATAATGAAATTGAAATATTTGCACAATAATAATCATTAAGATAATTATTATTTTTATTAAATAAAAATTAAACTACACTAATTAAAATTTTAGTATTTTTTTGTTGTTGTTGAAAAAATTACAATATATTTACATAACCATAAAAATTCAATTCAATTTAATTATTAATTTAATACCTGTTCTCCTGTTCCGTGCATAATAATTTCGGGTACGGCATACACTTCGGAGTCCAAATGAAATTTGTCGCCATTGAGCTCCAGAAGCAATACACGAAAGTTGGTACCACCCAAGTCCAGTGCCATATATTTACCCTCAGCTATTCAATATATCATAATTTTAAAAAAAATTGATAATAATTTCCATTTTAAAAAAAAACCCTAAATCACTAGTATATTAAGCACAATATTATCGTATTATTACCGTATTTTTCTTTACCGTCGGGTACGTCCCTGACAAACGTCGGGAACATCTTGACCGGTGCCACGGGATTGGTATCTTTGCGCAGACCCTCATTGAATGACTGTAATAATAGTGCCTCTATTTCGCCCAACTGTTGATTTGTTAGCACTAATGGCTTTAGGATTTCCTCAATCTATAAAAAACAAAACAAAAATTTATTAATAATATTTATTGATATTGTTTTTCTCAACAAAAAAAAATATTCCATTGATATACAAACATATTAATATAATAATAACTCAATTATAATACAAATAAATACTATACAATATTTAATAAGTTTTTATTAAATTGTATATAATTATTTAAAATTATAAATATTAAATTATATAATATTTTTACATAACATACTAGTACTTTAATAAGCATTAATTTATTTGCAAAACATTTATCAATAATTACCTCATTTTTGATTAACATTTTGAATTAAAATTTATATAACTAATTAATAATATTATTAACTTTATATTATAAAGAAATTACTTTTAAATTAATTGATTATTTGACTTTTCTAAACATTTAGTGCAAGGTTTATCAAAAGTCATATGATATTTGTAATTTATATAAATAAATAAAAATCAACAATTGTATATAAAAACTGGGTTTTTTAAAATTTAAAAATTATAATTTATTAACACTATATGAAACGTATAACATTTTTTTTTGTAGGGAATTTTAGATATTGAATAGATAATTAAAAATTTTATTTATTATAAATTATAAAATAATCACTATTTAATGTATATATATACTGTATGTAGACAGCAACAACAAAAAATAATAACTAAAACTAAAAATAATATGAAACTAGAAAACTTTAATACAGTTATATATATACTTTTTAGTACCACTGCAATAGTGAATATTAGTTATTAATTAAAAATTAATTTTTAATATATTTAAAAAATTTAGGTTTTATTTAAAATATTTTTAAATCGATAATTGTAATCTACAATAATATTCAATTATGTACTACAAATACTTTGTATAAATCATAGTATACTTAAAGTAAATAATCATTTTTTTGACAATTTCTAGAAAATCAAATATCATAAATTGTGTGAAAATTTGTCATAAATATTTTATAGTACATGTAATGACACTTGTTATCTTAAAAGTCTATTTAAAAATAAAAATTTATTCATCTTTATCTTATCATAAATATACATTGAATTATAGCCAAGTTTATAGACCAAAAAATATTGAATATTATTTTAAAGTATTAAACAAATATTCCTATTGATTATTAGTTTAATACAAAAAAATAATGTCTAAACATTTGTAATTAAACATAAATTTATATAACATTTATTATATAAAAATTAAACATTTTTGGCCATTAATTTTTTTTCTATTTAATTGACATCAATGATAATCTTAGTTTTTTTATAACATTAAATCATATCATAATGATATTCATGGAAACATAAATATGTATGAGTGTATCATAATATGTCTAAATATAGATATTTAATTTTTATTATTATTAGTAGTATTATTGAATGATAATAATATTGATTAAAACTATTCATTGTATCTCACGTTTTATAACTCATGATGCATTTGGATGAAATTTTTAAAAAAAATATAATAAATGATTTTTAATAATAAATTTTTATTTGTATAAAACGTGAAAATATGTCCAGAATATTGAATGAAAATACTAATAATATACTTATAAATTATAAATACTTAATAGTATATGATTTTTTTTAATATATATATACAATCATTAATTTTATTTTCAATATTATTAATGCTAATTTAATTTAATTAAAATTGATAAATACAATACTAAACGAGTTGTGAAATAAAAATAAAATTAAAAAAAAGTATGATTTTGATTGGGATGTGAAAAGTGGTGTGTCTTTAACATCACTACAAACGTCATGTGAGCGATGATACAGTCAAATCCTTTTTTGTTTGTTTGTAATAAAGTAATATAGAAATATTGATAATTATAAATATGGAAAAATAACTATTTATTTTTTTAAAAGAAAATTTATATTATTTATAGTATTATTTAATACTGTAAATATGTATGAATTTTTTGTTTCATTTGCTGTTGTGATAAATATAGGGTTTTTATTTGTCTGGAAATTTAATTATATAAAATTGATTTTGTTTTACAATTTTGATAATATAATTTTTTTTTTTAAATTATACACTAATTGTATTATTAAATATTAAAAAAGACTAATTTACAAACAAACTGTTTTTTCAACTATAGTGAAGTTTTTTCATGAAAATTATTTAATTAATTAATATATTTGATAAAAAATATATCAAAATTATAACTATTACTTATTTTTAAATAAAATAACATTTCTTAATAGTAATTCTAATATTATAAAATGCTATATTAAAATTAAATAGTATAAAAAACTTATTTTAAAACTTATTTCACAACTTTATTATATTTATTATTACTAATAATAAATGAATGAGACGGTAATGATTTGCCCACAAAAATGTTTACATAATTCATATCCCGTCGCTATTTAGTAATTTATCACATAATAAATGTTAATATATATGTAGTTTAAAAAGTCATTAAAAAAATATCTGAAGGTTAGCAACAAACAGCAAATCTTTGTTTTTTTTCTTTCAATTAAAACTTTTAATTTAATTAAAAGACAAATTTATGACTTTATAATAAACTTGTAAATAGTTTATAAAATATAATTATTTGAATATAATAAAAAAAAATAAAAAATAATATCTATATTTTATTATATTATATTTACTTAAACTATATGTTTGTATAGAAAACATAATGTTAAATTTCTTAAAATGTTAAAATGTCAATACTTATAAATGTCATAATTTTTTTAAATAAAACAATTGTTATTAAATTATTAAACAAATTTATTATATTTACTTATAAAAAGTTATATATAATATAAATAATTTTTTTAAATACCTCATCCATGAATTGAGTCATTATTGTTATTCAATTATTATTATTATATTCTTAAAACAATATTAAAACAATATTAAAACAAATTATCAAAAACGATAAACTTTATCGAAAAAAAAAGTTTTTATACTGTTGTTATTAATTGTTTATTTTATTTTCAAAATATATTTAAACTTTATAAAACAATTCAATAATAATTTTTTATATTCAACAATTAAACTTATTATTCTTACTATAATAATAAATAATTTTATAAATTGTTTATTGATTAGCAAACAAATAATTGATTTTTTTATTATAATAAAAGCACAGAAAAGTTTTTTTTATAACTGAAAATATAATATAAAAAGTAATTGTTATTATGTTTGGGTATAAATAACTTAGAAATAAAAAGTGTAGTTTTGTGACACACTTTATTAAATTATTAATATTACTATAATACTAATAAAAATATTTATTTATTATTGCATATAATTGTTACTATATTTTATAAAATACATATGTATTAAGTTATATACATATATTTATTTATATATACAGCTTAATAGTGAACATCATTTCAAGTAAATTACATGAGAATTGAATGGCAAATGTAGTTGAGATGTGACCCTCTTTTTTAAGAGAAAGTCGACACCAGTTCTTACTGTTTGATTGGCTGCCAAACACCCATACCATCGATTAGTTTTAGATAACTGTGCAAAACATAACAACACTATGTTTTTTTCTCAATTGCTATATTCTAAGTATATTTATAAGAGATAGAAATAAAAAGATATACTTAAGTTTATACTACAATACAATACAGTATAATATATATAAAGTTTAAGAGAATATAAAAAATAATATATATATATAAGTAAAACCTATTTTTATTATTACTGTATTATTATTTTTATTGTTATTTATATTGAATATGAATATCAAACAACAAATATTGAGAGAGAGAGAGAGAGAGAGAGAGAGAGAGAGAGAGAGAGAGAGAGAGAGAGAGAGAGAGAACCTATAATATAAGTAATCAAATTTTGATGTCATTATACACTCTATTAGTTGCATCCAAACTCCAAACTTTTGTTTTATTTATTAAATAACATTTAAACAAATTATTGCTGTTTGATGTGTGCCGTCTATTTTGGTTATGTCCTCTATTAGACAATTTTGTGTTTAAATTATTTTTATTTATCATATTTTGCTTATAAATTTATATCAATATTTAGTTTAATTTATTATCTAAAATTATTTATAACAATTCTAAATTTTTGTTACTTTAATAAATAAATAAATAATATTTTTTAATTATTAATTTTTAGAATATTATATACAAATTTATATAATTTTATATAATATATAAATTATTTACATGCATCGCTAAAAATTGTTTATTATTATTTCAATTAATTTAAATGTTATTATACAATATTAAATACACTATACATGTATATAAAATTTTATATTGTAATTAATTTATTTTAATATTAAAAATTAATTACCGTAAAAGTTTTTTGTAGTTATTATTGTACTTAATATTATAGAATAATAGTAGTAATAATAATAATTTATAAAATACATATAATATTGATTTTTATGATTTTGTTTAACTAACCTAAAAGCATAAAATAAAAAAATATATATACAGTATATATAAATAAATAAGTTATAACTTAAATTTATAATTTTTTTCAAAAAAAAATCAATATAGTTTTACATTTACTTAAATATAATAGTAATTAATTTTTTTTAATAAATAATATACTGTAATATGAAATAAATAATAAACAATTCCTTAGAGTGGCGCAGAAAAATCAATATTTTTTCAAAAAAAAAAATAAATATTTATATATTTAAATTAAAATTTCCATTAAATTTAAAATTTATTTTTTTCAAAAAAAAAAATTATTGATTAACTTTAGGTATTATAATACAGTCATACAAACAAACATATAGTCAATTTATGTCTAGAAATTTTTATGTATGTCTAGACTCTAGACTATACTGTATATAAATTTAATATAAATAAATTTACCATGTAGAAATTTCTCTGTATGTGTTACGTTATTTATGTAAGGCTTCACTAAACTATGCAATCACTGTTGGGTTTGTTTTCTATGCATTTGAGAGTCACTTTCATGAGTATTGCCATCAATTTTTGGCAATAGTTGTCCACAAATAACCGCATATAACGTATATATAAAAATATATGAGTATATGAATATACTTATCACTTATCAAGGTTTGGTAACATATAAAGGGGTCGTCAAAATTAGTCACTAAACGTAACACTGTATGTGTATTGTTGGCTGATGTATATGATTGGGTGATATATGCCATTATGATGTCACCACTCACTGTGTAAATGATATTATACTCTGTATTATATATATATTGAATGATATTATTATAAACTATTGGTTTATATATATAAATATGTTGTGAACTAAACTATTTGTGTTATAAAAAATATGTACAAAAATAACAAAACATTAGACGCTTTCTATAATAATAATAATAATAATAATAACTAA